CCTCAGCTTGGCTCGTTTCTGCCCGTTCTTGGTGACGATTGTCTCCTCGTAGAACTCGTGAGCCAGATCCCCATCTTCGTCATAGAACATGGAGCCGCGGCGCGTGAAGACGAAGGGCGGCACAGCCCTGCCCCGCGGCCGCACCAGAGCTTGCTCAGCGCCCGCTGCGCCCGGCGCCTCTGGGCCGCCGCCCCCCGCCGAGGCGAAGGGCCACAGGCCCCGAGCCTTGGAGCCGCTGGCGCCCATGTCAGGGCCGCCGGCGCATGGCCGGCCCGCGGCCGCTCTGCCCTCACAGAGCCGGCGGCGCCACCATGCCCAGCCTCGGCCTCCTCTCGCGGGCGGCGCCGTCGCCTTCCGCAGGCTCGGCCGTCTCCACGGAGACCTCACTTCCGCTTCCGCACGCCCGGCGCGACGCTCCCTCCCATTGGCTGCCGCTCTCGTCGGCCCGCGGGAGGAGACCAATAGCGGCGCTCCGGCAGAACGCACCCCAGCATGCGCCGCGAGGCGCCAGGTCCTGCCGGGCTCGCGCTCCCCACCCGGGGCAGCTCCCACGCGGTGCCGTGAGCTGGAGGGGCGGCTCCCTCTGCCCACTTCACTGGGGCACGCGCGGTAGCCCCTCCGCGCCGTGTTCAGTCCCGGGGGACCTGCCCAACCTAAACTTGCACTAGAGGTAGCAAGGGATGGGTTTGCCAAGCCTTCATTCTATTGCTTTAGGGTATCTTTTCTGTTGCCTTTCGCAAGTGAATAAATCAAGTGTGAGTTAAAATTAAGAATCAGGCCAAATCTTCCAGACTCAGTTCTGAAGTTCTCTTTATGTTTTTACAAAACCCACTTGAACGCAAACTTCATGAAACCAAGAATTGTTCAAAGGTGTACCTTTGGTGCCATGAGCTGGGGTGGTGTGTGTGTTTGCTTGTGCACCCACGCTCAGAGCTCCAGGCTGCTGAGTAATGACCAACAAAGTATATCCCAGACTGAGTACCCCAATCCCATGGTGACTGGGCAGAGGAGGTGCCTTGTGAGTCTGCCCATCACCCTTGGCAGCCACTGGCTTCAGGGGCACCTGTGGCTGTGGGCGCAGGATGAAAGTCCAATAGCAGGAGCATTCTCAACTCTTTATTCAGTCCATTCTCAGGCCCTTGCTGATGGCTGGCACTTTCACCCCTGACCCTGCAGGAGGCATTCAGTTGAGGCCACAAAACATGACACACATTCGCAACATCATCAAAGACCCTGGAGAGACCCTGGCTTTGGCTGGCAAACAAGGCACATCCCGGACAGTGCTCACGCTCTCGCGTGGACCTGGCCCAGGGGCCGCCTCCTTAGAGGCACGGAGGCACTGTGGCTGCACTGTGAGGCAGTGCTCACTGACCACAGGGTGTGAGAGCGGTCAGAGGGCCTCTGGAGGGAACCAATTCTCCCTGGATGCCAGCCTTATCCTCTGTACCCATCTTTGGCTCTATAGGTCCTGAGACCTTCTGCCACAGAGGCAGCCCCACACCCCCTACAAACATGCTCCAGTGCTGCTTGTGGTGTTCCCATGATTATCACACACCACAGCCAGGAATCGGGGAGACCTCTGTCGACTCCCCTCCTGCTGCAAACCTGAGGCCACTTTCCAGGGCAGTCCTGCCCCACCATGGCTCAGTACATGAAGGGCAGAGGCGGGCAGAGCCATGCTCTGCTGCACCATTGGTGGACACAAAGGTCAGCTCCTTAGCTGTTCTCTGGGCTTGTATGCCCAACAAGGGACGACTCCCATGCACACTCACTCCTCAGGCCCCACGGGCCATGTCACACTCATACGGCATGCCCTTGGTGCGGTCTACTCTCCTCCTTCCCCCTCTGGGGTGGAGAAGATCACCCCAGGGGGCAGGCATGCAGAGCCTCCTGGATCTTCTGGCGGCAGCAGGAGTATTTCTGCAGGATCTGGCGTAGGTGCTCCTCCTCCTCTCGCTGCAGGATGCGCAGGAAGTTGTGCAGCTCAGGCATGCTGAAGGCATCCCACTGTAAGGGGAGAACACAGCTGGAGCAGAGGGGCCAGCGAGCCTGGGGGTTTCTGTAGTCAGCGTCTCAGATGGCCCACAGAGCAGAGCAGACAGATGTCCCCCAGTTACAACCACCGACAGGGCGGGCCAGGTCCACATTCTGGGTCTAACCCCACTCCACAGGCCCAACACCTCGGGACCAGAAAGCTTCCAGGTTTTACAAGGGCTTGTCTTCTATCTGTTCCTGCTCCAGCCCACTAGCCCTGCCTAGTGACCGCCAATAAACTGAGGAGAGCGGGTACTCACATTGACCTCTCCAGAGTCATTCTCCTTTAGGACAAAGCTCAGGATTTTCTCACTGGGTCCTGCGAGAAGCCTCAGTCGCAGTGGCTGCTCATCATCCGGTAGCTTCCGGAGGTACACTGAGGGACAGGGGGGTGGAGAGTTGAGTTCAGGGTCAGGCTCTCCAGCAGGAACAGGCACAAGCATAGGCACACCCACACTCAGAAAAGGGGAGGGTAGAGTGGGCAGCTCACCTTGGCCGTGGCGCTCTGCCCGCTCAAAGAGGGCAAACTTGCGGGGGTCGTCCACCACCAGGAACTTTCGCAGCAGGGCCTCAATGACCTCCTGTGCCCGCGTGCGGGACAGCACATGCAGGTGCTTGACAGCATCTTTGGGCAGGTAGAAGGAGGTGCGGCGCCGCACACTGCCAGGGCCAGGGCCAGGGCCCCGTCCAGGGTTCCGCCGGGCGTCCTGCAGGGAGGGCGGCTTCTTGCAGGAGGGCACTGAGACAGGGCGCACCAGCTTCAGCTGGACCTTGATGAAGCCTGTGTAGGAGCCGTCCTTGTTCTAGAGAGGGAGAGGCCGGGGGCCTGAGTGCAGAGCCCAGGGGAGATGGGACAGTCCCTGCAGGGCCAGGCTATAGTAGTACTACATGAAATCACGGCTTGGGCTTGCCCAGGAATACCACAGCTGTGAGCTTTTGCGCATCAAGCAGACAGCTGGGTTCCTGTCCCCGCCCTCCCCTGGCCAAGGCCCTCTGCTCACCAAGCTCATAAAAAGGTTGCTGTTAATCTGGCTGTTGTACTCCTTGATCTTCTGCTCAATCTCAGCCTGAGAGAGGTCAGGCGTCTCCCACTCCACGGGCCCATCCTGAGAGAAAGCAGAGACACGGCATAGACACGGGGTCCTAGGGAAAGACGGCCGCTCCAATGCTCATCCATCGTTGGGGGCTTCTTGGGGAGCTGTGATCACTCCTCACCTCGAGGGAGGTGGGCTGAGGTGCCTGCTTGCTTTGGCCCACGATGATAAACAGCCCTTGGAAACTGACACTGAAGCTTGAGGACTGATCAGAAGGTTTCTTGGCCCTGGGCCCGATTGCAGCCATGCTTTCGACCTCCTGCTGCTGAGTACCTAGCTACCCAGGAGCTGCCCACCTTGAGCCCTTCGCTTCTCGCAGTTCTGCTTATGTGGGTGGAGACAGCGAAGGCAGTGTGAGCTGCCAGCCTGGGCCCCCTCAGCATTGGGTGTGTCCCTGAGGCGAGCTGAAGGCACAAGGCTAGGGGCCAAGGGAAGATGAGAAAGAGTCTGTGTATACAGTAAGAGCACAGCTCACGTGCAGAGCCCAGTCCAGGCACCCAACTGGCTGTGGCGGGTGTTTTGGGCGCACCCTTGGGAAAGCAACCCATTTTCTCTGCAGAGACACAGAACCATGACCCACTATGGAGGGGAGGCGGGTGTGGAGGCTGGAGGGGTGTAGACCAGGTGCCTGGTCACCAGTGGGCAGGAGGGGTAAGAACCATCTCCAAAGCCTACCTCCCTGGGGAACTGGGCTTGAGACTGTGTGTGTGTGTGTGTGTGTGCGAGAGAGAGAGAGAGAGAGAGAGAGAGAGAGAGAGAGATAGGTAGCCCCACCTGCTAGGGGCTGGCTTTAAAATAAAGGGACCGGTGGTTGAGCATTCCCACAGGCAAATGCACACCACCCCAGAGTCTATGCAGTCCGTGAGGCCGCTGACATCCTTCCAGCAGGGAGATGCTCCTGAGTCACTTCCCTTATCCACATGAACTTGCTACCCCTAAGGGCACTCTCTCATCTTGTAGGTGCGGGGTCACCGGGCCCCCCGCTACTTCTCAGACAGACGGTGCTGGGGGCAGCTGCGCTGTACTCGTTACGTAAGCTGAACTACCCTTCAGTCTTCAGACTTCTCTCAACCCCCCTGCCCCCACTGCATCACTCTGACTTCCTGCTGACCCCAGAGACGGCTGTCAGAGACATAGCGGAGGTCACCACTGACATCTTCTCAGAGGGTCTCCAGCAGAATGAGCTTGTGCCCACCTCGGAGGCCCCTGAGCTGCTTAAAGTTTGATGTGGCAGATGAGAGCGCACGAGTCCAAGCCTGCTCCGCCAAGAACTCGTGGAGTTCCGCAGCCGGCACACACACGGGGCTGAAGGCCGCGGCCGGCCCTCATGGAGAATGGACAGTATGGGGGGAAAGGTGGGAATGGAAATCCTGTGCTTCCCTAAGTTTCCAAAGGTCTCCTGGCTAGAAGAGCAGTGAAGAATCCAGCGTGGCTGCCGCTGGGGGCAGCAAGCAGTCCTGTGCGGCTGGTTGAACAAATGGTGGGAGCCTGGAGTGAAATCAGGAGACTGGCTGGTGGTCACAACGGGTCGGTCAGGGGTGGGGCAGGAAGGAGCGCTACGAGGAACTTGGAGCAGACTCTACTGCCTGGGCAAAAAGGAACATCGTTCTGTTGTTGAACCAAAGAAGGTCAAGAGATGGCACCACTATTTGTCCCTTCCCCCTCTGAGCCCTGGCCTTGCTCACCTGCTCCTCCTCTGCCCCTTTCCAGTTCACGCAGTGACCTCAGCCCTTTCCCTTGTCCAGGTGGTCCTTTGTGATATACTGCTTTTAATATGTCCTTTCTCACTACGGCTAACTTCTACCAAATGACTGGGTGGGGCTATGCGTATAAGGTGCTTAGCACCATTTTGGGGGGTGGGACCATGGAATATGGTGTATGGAACCCTAGTGAGGGGATTGGTCAGTTTTGTCCTCCCACCAGGTTTAAGGGAGCCAGCTTAGAGGTTGTCGACCACTGAGGAGGAGGCAGGAGGAGGGTGAGTCCTGTAAACTTGGATCTCTTCTGCTGAGAACCTCAGAGATCCAGAAGGCAGAGGGAGACCGGCACTATCTGAGACGGCACGAGATGGTGGGATAGGCCAGCATGCGAGAGAACAGTGGGCTTCCTGGCTCAGGGGCACGTGGCTACAGAGGGTGTGCCGACCGAGTACCTTCTGGCCAGGGCTTACTGTGGAGTAGGGTGCCCCTGGACCCTTTTCCGCAGAACTATAGGAGTTTTGAAACAGTAGCCCAACTAGAGCATGTGGAACCAGTCTGTGAGCATGGCTGAGAGAGTCTTGATTGAAAATCTGTATCCTGAATTGTGATTTGCTACTTCCCTAATAAACACCTTAACTGTGAGCTGGGGTTTGTGTGTGTGTTTTCTATGTGGCCATTGCAACAAATTACCAAACCCAGTAGAGAATACTGGTGTCAGAATTAAAAAAAAAAAAAAAAAGTTTGGAAGATGACTTCATGCCAAACAGCCCTCGGCTGTTGATGTTCATAGTGATTCTCCTCCTCCTCCTCCTCCTGTCTGAGGCTGTGGGCTCACTTCTTTACAGTTGTGTCCGGGTTTTACAACCCCCTTTATAAACAAGAGCACAACACAGCGCTGTCCTGCCGGAATTCTAGAAGGCTTCTTTCCCCTCCCCTCTTCCAAGGCTGTTCTAGAGGGATGCAGAGATCTGTTCCTTCCCTGGCCCTGCCTGCCACCCTCCACCTTCTTCCCGCAACGACCCTTTCACAGTTCCTCGTGTGCTGGTGACCCCAACCATAAAGTTATGTCCGTCGCTACTTCATCACTGTCATCCTGCTACAATTATGAATCGGGCAACCCCTGTGAAAGGGTCATTTGACGCCCCACCCCCAAGGGGGTCGAGACCCACAGGCTGAGAACTGCTGCTCCAGAAGGCCGGCTGGGTGTGTTTTAACTACCACTTTGGATTCAAAGGCCCTCCTTTCCCATTGGTCAGTGCACTGTGGTTCTCCTATTTTGTGTTTTCCCCACAGGCCTGAGTGACACAGGGACCTTCCCTGGGGCCCTCGACAACCCATGCAAATTAGCCAAGGGCGTGCTGCTGAGTGTCACTTCCTTTGTTGGGGCTGTTACGAGATTTCACCTAAAGTGCCATCTACAACACCTCTCCTGGTTTCCATAGGGATTCTGCCCTGGCGGTGTGGCAAGCCAAGCCTCGAAGTCGCCTCTCTCAGCCCCTCCCTGAAGCCTTAGCCGGGATGCTTCCCAACAGCAGCAATTTCCCGGGGCTGGTCATTAGCGCTCGCTAGTGGGCACAGCTAGATTTCCTAAAAACCCTGGTGGTACATCAGTTAAGCGCTCCCAGGCGGCGGCTCTGCGAGTGAAAGGCCCGTCCAGCCGCATCTGACTCAAAATGACAGGCAAGAAAACCCCACCGCGAGCAGGTCTACCCCGTCACGTGGGGTCGCTGGAGGTTGGAATCGACTTGACGGCCCCCAGGAACCACCACCGCGGAGAAGCCTCACCCCTAACTCTGGTGGACTCTCTCCGCCACGCCCTTCGCGGGCACTGGACAATGCCACTTCACCCGCCTCTTGTGAGTAGGGGGGGGGGGGTCAGGTCCCAAACAAGCCGTCCTTCCGTCTGGTCCCATAGCCTCTCTCTACGCCCCCAAGTCCACCCCAGGGTGGGGGCTAGAACCCGCCCCAAGCCGGCAACTGATGACGGTGGCCCACAGGAGGTGGGGGTTCAGCTGGGGCCATCTGGGAGTCCGAGTCGACCGGCCAGCCCTCCCTCTTCCTCCACACGGTCCTAGGATTCCCGGCGAGGGCTCCTCCCCTCGACTTCCTCCCGCTGGTCCCCCGGGGAGGGGGTCGGAGCGCCCGCGCGCAAAATCGAGGTGCTGCTCCAGACGGCGCCGTCGGCCTTGGTCCTGGGTGAATAATGCGCATTCCTGGGCTGCCCCAAGCCACCAAGCTGCTTCCTCCGGTTCTACCAGTCTCGGCTCCG